TCTCTCTCCCCTACAACAGGCACTTCTTACCAGAGGTAAGCACCCTTCCTCTATCCTCCCACCCTCCCTTGTTCCCTCACCCTGACAATGGCAGCCACTTCCTTCTCCCCTCCCGCCCTCTTTTACTCCCTTATTGGAAGGAAGCAAGTGGTGAGCCACAGCAGTATCTCCATACCACTACCACTCCCTTTGTTCTAAAAGGTTGCCAGTCCCTGGTTTAGGTTATGTAGGAGGTCAGACTACATAGTCATTAAAACTTTGACTATAAAAATGTATGGAACTGAAATGTGAAACTGGTGCTCTTAGCTTGGCAGTCAGGTCAGTTTGATGTTTATTGGTTAAACTGCTAGAATTTAGTGCCTCACTTTTCAGTATACTGTAACAAAAAAGAAGATCATACTCACATTGTCTAATAGGAAAACAAAAAGGTTGTAAACTGAGAGCCTTGTGCATCAGGTGGTCACTTTACCAGAGCTTAGCTCTGAGTGTGGGCTGCTTCAAACCTAATGGGCACTGGCGGTGCAGTCACCACACCCTGTGGCTGTGCTTATATGGCCACTTCTTCCAGCTGCCCAGCTGCTGTGTTGGCAAAGCTCCCCAGCTGCCAGAGCCCCCTGCCTCTGTGGGCTGAATAAAATAGTTCCATAAAAGCCAAAAGGAAAAAAATAAATGATTAGTTAGTTCAAAATTAAAATAACAACTTTCAAACAGGTCTCATAAACTGCAATTTTGTAACCTACAAATTAATACTTTTCACTTGGAAGATATTGATTATAAACAGCCAGTGTTAAAAAGATGTCCATGTTAATGTCCATTTCATATCCTCTATACAGAAAGGGTGTTTGTGAATGTCTAGTGAGATGCCTGTTTCTAAAAAAGATATCTATACCACTGGCACCATTATGGACACTCACAGCAGGAAAAGTCACAGAGTTAACAAGCAGGGAGGTTGAACTATGTTCTCATTCCTGGAAATGTCATCTAGGCCAGCATGAAAAAAATCTTCCCTTATGCTATGTCTGCCTATGTCTTATTTCTCTTAAGAAGAGAAAGCACTCTGGTATCCAAGGGTGTCAATCAATATTTTTTATGAGAAAGACAGAAAACATCACTAAGTAAGTCTTTTACTTTTCATATTTTCCAACTTTTAGGCTAATAACTAAGCACTCAAAATTGTGAAGGCTATTATTTTCACTCCATAGAACAGGAATTTATGGCTGGTTCCTATGGCTGCAGGCAGGTAAGAATTTTCATATGCATAGCTGTCAAAATTACAAGACTATCCTCATTTCGGAAATTTGCTATGGAAATGTTAAAATGCCACATCTGAATTTTATAACAAGATGCAACTTCCAGTTTTCTAAAGTTTTCCTTTTACAGCTATTCAATAACTCTTTTTTCTAAACATGAACTGTTCTGAAAAATAAAAAATGATGAGAAATATTTATTTAAATTTTGGCTGTCATGCTGTCTCTTTAAATTAAAAAGGCACACGTTGTTATTAGCAAGAAGTGATTATGAATCGCTATAGTAATTTAATTTAATTTAATTGTGAAGAATTGCTCTTCTAATGCTATTGACCATTTTTGAACACATAAAATGGCAACTGTACTTGAGCCTTCCGGGAGGACAAGGGATATACATTTACATCACATTATTTGCTTGACATTTATATAAATGATGAATAATATTAGCTAAACTTTTCAAAAAATTTAAGGAGACAAAAAATGAATTTGGTACTCTAATTTTACATTATATTGCAGAACTTATAATAGTGTAATTCTAATGAGTGATGAATTACAAAAGGTACAGTTAAGCATGTAAAAGACTGCAAGAAATGATTGTGCAACTTTGAAATTCAACAGGTAATTAGACTTCTCACTGTAGGTGGGAAGAAGGTCTTCTGATTAAGGCAGAAGTCAGCAACCTATCACCCATGGCCCAGGATCTGTGGACTGTGGAACTATTTTATTTGGCTCAAGAAGCCAGGGGGCTTTATCAGCATTTTGCGACTGGGCAATGGAAAGAAGTGGCCATATCAGCACAGCCAGGGGGAGTGGTGACTACCCCTCCAGTGTTGGCTTAGAAATGGTATTTAAGGGTTTGGATTTTGGGAATTGGCTTATAGGTATATGTATATATTAATTACAATGGTTCAATGTGGGCAACAAGAATTAAGTGATTTCTAAAGAGCTTGGGTTTCACACACACAGTTGCACAGAGCCCTGGAAGCAGAGAGGCTGTCTAACACAACAAAGCCAACAGATATACACACAGCCTGAGACACAGAGGGCATGTACCACACTGTTCCATAATATGAGGTAAGGGTGGCACCAGCTAACAAGGCCCCAGAGCAGTGAAGACCTAACACACAGAGATAGGATCAGGGAAGTAAAAAAACAAACAGTTGCAGCTGCATTATGATTAAAATGGTGGTGGTGGTGACACCCACCTTTTCTATAAGTGTACTCCACTAGGGGGCAGGTCATACTGGTTCAATGTCCACCTCAGCCTGAGAAGGTTCAAACCTGTGCCTCCAATGACAGTGACCTAAGTAGCAGCTAGTAAGCAGGATTGGTGGGGCCACTCTTGACCTTCCATGTTCAAGTTGCACTAGTTTAAGGAAAGGAATGTCTTAGGGTATTGACTTAGGAGGTAGGAATCATGGGTTCTAGTCCTTACTCCTAGGACTGATTCTTTCTTTTGCATAAATCAGTTGTGTGATAAAAACAGAAATAATCCTTGGAACAGGAGTCACAAACACAACTCCCTTGCTCCATCCTTTCCCACCTTTGGCTACATTTTAAAAGGAAATGTTAAGTGTTTTAGCATATTTTTTTCATGGGATTTTATTTCATCCTTTCAATAAGTTCTGGTCTGAAATCTTGCTATGCTACATACTCTATCAAAAGCCAAATTTGTGCCAAGATTTTGTTTCTGAAATCCGATTGGCTGAAAATTAGGTTCTTAACACTATATTTTAGGCATTCTAGAATAATGGCCAACTTTTCAACATTTCTGAGCAACCAGTAGCTTCCATTGCATTTGGTGAGATTTTCAGTTGATGTGAATGCTTATTTCCTCAAAGTCACTATGTTTTGTACCAGCTGAAGTCAATGAGAGTTACTGGGTACTCAGGTAATTTATCTGAAGTAGCTAAAAACTGACTTTTGAGCCTAATTTCTTCTCTGTTTTTGAAATTCTACAACTCACTGTAACAAAGTCAATCTTAGGTCATGAATCTTCTTTTATCTCTTATGGAAATACTTATTGTCATGACCCTATGCACATATCCCTTTCTATCTATTACAAAGCTCAAACACTAAATTCCCTAATGGCATTTTTCTAAAATGCCATTAGGGAATTTTTCATAGATTCACTCTGCTAACAGTTAACTTCAAATGAGTTACGGCTCACTGTATCAATAAAGGATAATTTTACGAAGACAAAGTTGTCAACTAGTTGATAATGTATCTTCTGAACTAGACTGATATTGTATTAATGCTCTAGGAATCCACAGCAGTTTGATGTTCTCTGTATCCCATTTTGTCATTTAATTTTAGATAATAATTACATAATACATCATTTCATAATGTAGCCAAATCTGAAAAAAAAAGAATATTAATGCCCTGTATTTATTTTGCAGATGCTGATAAAGGAAAGAGGCCTTTTGTTTTAGAAAAGCACTTCACTTTCCACACAATTAAGGTTTTATTTATTTTTCATTAATTATCTTCTATTAATTTTGTGGAGAAATTCTTTGTGTTCTCTCTCTATATATAAAATGCAATATAATGTAACATTGCCTGGGATGTTTTAGCCAAGAATGATCTTATCTTGCAGAAGGGGCTGAACTAGATGTCCTTGTGAGGTAGCAGTTTCCTAACTGTGTTAACGTAACAGGACCAACTATATTTGGAACATATACGGCCTTTTCCTCCAGGCATGCATGATTATGAGCTAACTAAAGTTACTCAAGTGAGTTTCTTCCAGATAAAGTATGATTCATTCAATCAAAAGCACACAGAGAAGAGAAAAATAGGTTAAAACAGTGAAGACACATATAAACACTTCCCCTTACCTAAACCTAATCTTAAATTGCAAGCTTTTTAACTTCTAGACAAGCCAGTTACTACCATACTGGGAGTGAGGAGGATGGCCTATACACTGTAGTATTTGTCTCTCTCTCTGTCAATGACAAATTGCCAGTTTAACCATACATTTAACTCTCAATGAAGTCAATCACATTTAAACATATGCTTAAACTTTCCTAATTAAGGATGACTTAAGTATGTAGTTAAACATTTTCCTTAGTCAATTATTCTGTTGCTAAAACACCCCGAGGAACATCAACAGGAGAATTTTTAAAGGATTCTAAAAAATAATTGAAGACATTATTTAATGGTGTTCAACCAAAAGTTGTTATATGGCTTTGCTCCTTGTGACAGATTTGGTGATCCCAAAAGCATGATAACAAAGCCTTGCACCCCAATATGATATTGAAAAGTTATATCAAGAAAATATGGAAGATATTTTTCAAATGAAGGAAACACCAATTACAGTAGGAAAGAATATTTAGTTGTATGCCTAATGGCTTTGTAGCTATGCAAAATAGCGTAAGGAAGAGCCATTTACAATTCACCAGAACATGTATACTGCCCTTCAAGATTTTTGGCATATGTCAAGCAGAACATAGTGCTGTGTTGTTCATTTACAACTGATTAATGCCTCTTTGATACTGCAAGACAACCATCAACACTATCTTTTAAAATAAACAAGCACTACCAGTGTGTATCTGGAAAGAAGCCATTTCAGTGGCTAAAAAGTCCTCAGAAATGTAGAGTTATTACAGTGGCATTAATGGGACTCAGTGATATAGCCTTAAGATATACATCCTACAGCAGAAAACTGTGAAACTGTGTATACTTGCTCTGTGGTCTCAGTGAGTGACCTTGTCATATACAGAGGACTTCCCAAACAAAAGTATACGTCCTGCTTACCAGCTCCTCGCGTAGCTGGGAAATGAGTTCATCCCTCTCCTTCAACTGCAGCTTCAGCACTGAGCATTCATCTTTCATTATATCCTATAAAACCATCAAAAGAGATGTTATAATAGGCTTAACGCTTCTACTTTGCTTCTGACAAGAAAAGGCAGTTTCACACAGTGTGAGATAATTACATCTCGGTAATGAAACCCAATTCTCCTCTGTCATGTGTGATTTTTTTAATAACATATTCTAAGTTGCAGTACAAACAAATTAATGCATCCAAAGACATTACATAGAATTGTGATAGCTCCCTCCATACAAGCCTATTTCGTTAGCATCTGATTCTTTTAAGCCTTTTATTGAAGCTTCTGTCAGACATCTCTTATTTCAGTGAAGGAACAGATGGCCATAAAATTTCATAGTTCTACTCACACAAAACAACAGAGAAATATCAATTTAAAAGTATTATTGGGTAGTTCTTGATCTGACTACAAATGGAAAAAAGGAAGTATAGCAGATATTTATAAAAGAAACAAAGCAATCCTTCCACACATGTATTTGTGCATCATAATATTAAAAGTAGAAATGATAACCGTTACCAGTTACATGAACATTAAGACGGAGACAGTCCTTTTTGTGTGCTTGTGTGTGCAAAAGTAACGTCTGTAATTCAATTTTATGCACATGAAAATAAGTCTAAGTCACTAAGAACTTCAAAATTTTCTCCACATGTGTCTGTCAGTACCTAAGCAGCAACATGCCTAGGCCTTTTTTAAAAAGCAAAGTGCTTTGTAATTTAGACACGTCACCAAACTCCTTGGCTAGGGGCAGAATTTACACATAAACCCATTTAAGCAATCACAACCTGGTTTAAACCTGTAACAGAACAGAAGTTCCGTGCACATAAACCAGTTTCAAAATGGCTAAATGTGGCTGAATATACTATCAGACTTAACTGATTTGGGTCAAACTGGTTTATGAAACTTATGTGCCAGACCCCTTTCTGGTTCAAGTTAAATCACAGTCCCCCAGCATGCTTTCCAGCCCTGGGCTGAGCTGTGCTACCTGCTTTAGCAGAGAAGAGTTGGGTTGGGGGTGGCGGAAGGGAGAGAGAGGCAGGGACTGCCCCTTCCCTTCACCCCCTGGCAAACTGGCTGGGGTCTTGGGCCAGGGATGGGGGTTAAACCCTCCTTCCCCCGAGTACAGAGCTGCCCTGCTGCTAAACTTACTGAAAGTTATTGCAACTGTGGACTACAAATTCCAGAGGCACCTGGAAGCAGGAAGAAGTAGTGATGAGCAACCTTGCAGAGTCCTGCTGCTATGATGCTGGACTGCAAATCCCAGAGATCTAGGGGGCAGTAGGAAGAGGAGGTGAACACACAGTTCACGCCCCCTAACTTCTGGCCTGAGCCACTGGAGACATGTGGCTGCATTTCTTGAATCAGAGGTAAATGTATGTCTAGTTGTTTTTCAGTTTAATCTTTGCAGCTTAAACTAACCTGCAAAGACTGAATTGATTCAACCTTGGGCTTTTTGACTGTCGGTACTTAGCCCTTAAAATTAAGTATATATCACAAAAGGTTTGCCAGAGCGATACTGACAAACCTTCTTAGTGTAGAGATAGCTCATATGGCCTTGACCTAAGTGACCAAAATAGGAGCCCTGTTACATGATAATTTTGGGAAGTTCCCAGAGCTCTTAACACCTGAACTGTCTGTACATTAACACCTGAAACTGGTTTTAAGTACTCATTAGGCAGCTCAGAAGGACAGCACTCCAGGGCAGGGTTATGTCTGATCTATATTACCCAGCTCATGTTACATTAAGGTGTAGCCACTCTAGACCAGCATTTCTCAACTGGTGGGATGCACCCCAAAAGTGGGTCACAAGATTTTATGAAATGAATCAAAATTAATCAAACTAAAAATGAATCAAACTTTAAAAATGGATTCTCCTTTAAAAGGAGAAAAAAATGGGAAACCATTGTTTTTTTCCTTGCAGGCTATCAGAGTTCCACACTGGGGGGCTGGGGCCTAGGCAGCGGGTCAGGAGTGAGGCTCACTGGGTCAGAAATGGCCATCAATATTTACAAGTTGGTCCTGGTACAAAAAAGGACTGCGCAACACCATAAACACCTACCTGCCCCCCTACCCTGCTGGCCTGGATCATGCCCAGTGCCCCCACCCTCCCCAGCACCCCAGATCCCCAATCACTGCCACCCTGCTTACTTGTGGATTCCCACACTTTGTCTAGGGAAGGGTTAACCTACCTGCCTGCCTGGCTGCCACTGGTCTCTGGTGGGCTCAGCCCTAAGAAGAGCAGCAGTCTAGAAGTTACTGGGCAGGAAGGTTAACCCCTCCCTGTCTGCTCCCCTGGGACAGACAGGTGGGCAGCTACAAGTAGTCAGGGGAAGCAGGGAACCCTGAGGGATGGGGGGCCCTGGTGGCATGGAGAAAGGGTATTTTTACCCTTCAGTCCCTACAGGTCCATACTGGCCTGAAGTGTAACTGCTCCAAACTCAAGTTAGCACTAATACCTATCAACATTTGTGTGGTTCACAGTTTAATGTGTAACAAGACCCTAGGATATGAATAGGCTAGAGATTTCAGAAGTGCATCATTGGTACAAATAACCAGTCATACCACCTAACTGTCTGCCAGTACTCATGTACTTACAATTTGAAGAAAATACTCAAATATGACACAAAATTGATGAAAGCCTTATTTTGTGTTTCTTTCTTAGAGCTTGTTTTCCTCAGCAAAGTGTTCAATTATAATAAGCACCTTTCAATGAAATTATACTGCTTAACTTTTGCTCTAAACAAACTGGAGGAGGAAACAATAAAAAAACCCCAACATAATAAGATGCAATGCAGCAGTTGCACTCCACCTTTTCATCCAGCAGGCTGGATGGGCAGTGTCCAGTTCCTTCATGGGTCAGATCTGACAGGCAGACATAATCTGGTGTCCAGGGTAGGCACAGCAGGGTCCCATCCAGCCACAGGGAGAAGGGAGGGGGAAACCCAGCCCCAAAAAAGCTATGTGGGAAAAAGGGTCTTAACTTAGCTCCAAGCCAAACCCGCAGGAGGGGGAAGGGGGCATGGCTTGGCCCTAACCTGGCTGGGCAGGAGGAAAATGGGCGTGGCCCAACTCAGTGGGGTAGGGGTGGGGAGGAAGTGTGGTCCAGCCCCAAACTAGCCCTGCAGGTCGAGGGGTCATGGCCTGCCCCATGGAAGGATGGGGATGTCACCCTGAACTAGCTGCACAAGAGGAGGGGTGTGGCTTGGCCCCAATCCAGCTGTGCAGAGGGAAGGGGGGATGGCCCAGCTGCAACCCACCATGCAGGGCTTGGGATTGAGGCATTGGGGAGGGGTGGCAGTATTAACTACCACTGTTGCCCCACTGCTAAATTTCCTGACTTCTGGGGAGACCTATAGGCCAGATACAAAGGCTACGTGGGCCACATCTGGCCTGTAGGCGAGAGGTTCAGCACCCCTGCAATACAGACTATTCACAACTACACCAGGGAGAGAAGACACATGACCCCCACAGCTGGTGTTCAGTTGGTATGGCTGCTGATACAGTATTTCAATGCCTCATATTGTACTACTGAAGTTGTCAAGTACAGGAAACTGTTGGGCTTCTGTGTCCTGAATTAGAAGGCAAGGATTTCATAGGGTGTTATCTTTAATTGGACCAACTATGTATTTGGGATAAAGTTAAACAAGCTTTTGAATGTAAGACATTTTTATCAGGTCTCTGATCACAGGAATTCATGGATTCTGATAGTTTTTTTTGAGGGGAGCAGCAGTGGAAATATGCTGACAGGCTAAGCATTTCTTGCCAAAACAAATCTGTGTTCCACTTGCAGTCTGTTGAGCAGTAGAGAGCTGCTTCTGATGAGCTACAAGGTTAGGGGGCTGTTTGAAAGACATAAGCAGAGGGACGGGATATTTTTCTCAGAGTCTGATTTTTGTCAAGTATAGGCTGTAGTCATTTGGTGATTTTTCTGATCAGTTCTGGTGTGGAGTGGCAGGTGACCACCAGCTGTGTGCAGTCACAGAGGGGTTTCTTTTTGTATTGTAGCAGGTTACTGCGGGGTATTGGATAGGTCTTTCAAATGTACAGTCTGTTTCTCTATTGGGGTGTCCTTCTTGTATAAAGGCAGATTTTAGGCCAGTGAGGTGTGCATCATGACTGTTCTCCTCCAAGCAGATGTGTTGGTATCAGAATTCACGTGGTGGTAACCTCAGAACTCATGGTTTCTACATGTCTTTCCCAAATTGTGATATACCTGATCCAATGCACTAACTGCCATCGTGGCAACTGAATGGGTGAAACTAAACAGCAACTGTGCACCAGAATGAACTCACAGAAAAAATATAAGGGACAGAGACATACACACCATTAATAGCACATTTCTCGCAGAACAGCAACTCGTCCTCTGACCTCACTCAAGGCAAATCTACCTAACACCTTTAAAAAGCAAACTTGAGAACAAAAATTAAAAAACTGGCTGGACAACAACTAAACACTGATACTGGATTTATGGAATGTTATATTTTATCAAATTCATGAATTCTTCCACACAAGAAAGGTGAGACTGACTCTCCTCCCTCTTGATAGACCTTGACCTCCCAGTAATCAGCTTCTTTCCTTCTGCTAAATGTGTATCTGTTACCCCTGAGAATTTCTCTCAGCCTCTTCCCTCTACTGTTTTTCACTGTGCTGTGTCTTGTTCCCTGAGATCAGAGACTTGACCAAGAATATCTTGCATTCAAAAGCTTTTCTAACTTTATCCCAACTACATAGTTGGTCCAATAAAAGATATCACCCTAAGAAATCCTTCCCTCTCCTGTAATTTCTGGACCATCACAGCTATAACATCACTTTTACACTACTGGCTTAGAAGAGAATTGATGTGGTTCTATAATGGTCTATTTCTTCTGTCTACCATTCTGTTAGTGTTCCTCAGTAAATAAGTCTGTGGAAAAAATAGAAATGTACTCTCAGAACAGAATGAAACTCCTAAATATACCATATAATATAAAAAATGTATATTATATATATATTTATTTACTGAAAAACAGTTAAAGA